CCCCCCCCCCCTCCACACCGCGCACATGTCGCCTTCGAATCTCATCAACGCCCGGAGGAACCCAGAAGACGGCCTGAGTGTCTCGAATGTCTCATCCGAGTCGAGCGTCTTGTGGGATGCCATATCTCGGGATCAGGCGAGATTCAATGTTTCTTTCCCTTCTTCCCCTTCTTCCCCGCAGAGGCCCACCCGTCTCCCACCGGCTGATGACAGAAACAACATTTTCACGTCGAGATGTTCGTCAAGGGCAATCAAGGTTTTCAAAGGACAGGGAGGCAGGGAGATAGTGAGGGGAGGGCGGGAGGGAGGGAGGGAGGGAGGGAGGGAGCACTGAAAAGGCGGTATTTCGAACCGGCTAGGATATGAGCACGAGGTACGGACGGTGCCAAATCCAATCAGAGTATTTGGGGGTACCGCGAGAGGTGGAGAGAGAGAGATGGCACCCCCGCTTAGACCGATTTTCAAAGCTCATTTACTCCACGACCAAGATTGTCTGTACCGTACCATATACCGTACTGTGGTATTCCGTAAGAGGCGGAGAGATGGCACACCCCTCCTAGGCCGATTTTCAAAGCTCCATTGCCGTTGGAAGGGGCGGAGATATGGCACCCCCCTCGACCGATTTTCAAAGGTCGGTTGCTCCACAAAAAACCAAGCTTGTGCCACCACCAAGAATGTTCGTTTGGCATCACGTCGAGGGCTTTCCGTAGACGTATCGGGCTCTTTCCGCACCCCCTTGGCTGTGGAGCAATCGACCTTTGAAAGTCGGTGTGGGAGGGGTGCCATCTCTCCACCTCTTGCGGAAACACTATTACAGATGTTGCGTTGTGTGTGTAAACTCTCTGTCTGCCTGTCTCTGTCTCTTGTCTCTGCCTCCGTTCCCGTACCTGAGAGACAGCTACAGGCTTGACGCTCACGCTCGCGCCCCCGAAACCGCCTCCCCCTCCTCCTCCCCCTCCCCCGCCGCCGCCGCCGCCGCCGCCGCCCCGACCCTGCTGCTTGCGCTGCAGGAACTCCGTTGCGAACGACGAAACCTGGGGGGATCACACATACACACACACCAAAAAAAAAGCGAGTGAGGAAACAACCCTATTCGTATTAATCTCGCACACATCATCGGTGTTGAGCCGCGGCACCGACAATCGTAACGGCCCTGGCCTCCAAAACGTTCGCGGCAAACCCTCGGCGCGCGCGAGACCAGAACGACGCACTCGGGGGGGTCGTCGAAATCTCTCACGAAACTGGACCGAAAACGAAAAAAAAAAAAAGATAAGTTC